GGCGCGGCTCGGAGGAGGGGCAGCACGCGCGGGTCAGGAAAGCGGGTCGACGCTCGGGTCGGGTCGGGTTCGAAAAAACGCGCGGATCCTCTGGTTACTTAAGGCCAAAACGACGTCGTTTTGGGAGGGTATAAAAGGCAATCCCCTTCGTTTTTTCGGTAGACCGCTCTTTCCTCTCTCTCTCTTCTTCCCTTTTCCTCTCCCTTCTCTCTAAAAACTGAAGAACACCGGTGCCGGATTCTGGAAAATGTCGTCGAATTCTGGAAATTTCGTCGGAAGTTGGCCGGAAGATCGTCGGTTTCTGGGATTCTTCGCCGGAAACTGGGCAGGTCGCCGAAACTTTAAGGTTGGCCGGAATTTTCACCGGAAAATTCAAACTTCGTCGGAATTTTCGCCGGAATCTGGAAATTTCCCAGAAATTTCCAGAAAAAATTTTCGCCAAAAATTTCTAAAAAATTTTTCTCACTCCCAGAACACTCCTAAACTTTTTCTAGCTTCCTATACGCCTCCTTTTCTCTCAAATCAGTAGCTTTGCTTACTGTTTTCTGTGTGTTTTCATTCTATTCCAGGAGGTGCTTTATATAGGGATTGATCAGGAGTTTCTGATCAATCCCAATTCCCCTTTGGACGGGAATTCAATCTTTGAATCCAGTCTGGACTCTTCTGATTGAATTCCCACTCCCAATGGGATTCTTCACTTCATCTAGCCCTCCAAATAAAATCAAAATAAAAAAAAAAAACTAGATAATAGAGAAGATAAGATCAACAGATATTATAGGATAATAAAGTAAAAAAATATATCAGAATATAATTAGATAAGTAAAATACAAAAAATGAATAAAATAAAAAGAAAAAATTATATATTACATAAATATAAAAGTACACATAAATATTAACAAAAATAATAATAATATATACATATATTAATACATTAATAATAATAATAAAAAATACAATACATAAAATACAAAAGAAGAAAAAAAGAAAAAAAAATACAAGATAAAATTGAATTGGGCTTACCCATTTGGGCCAGGCCCAATTGATCTGGGCCGGACCCAATTGGGTGTCTACAGTTATCATAAGATCTAATCATAAATATGAGACCTCAAGGACATTGCAGCAAACTCTTGCTGTTATAATAAAGGAAAGATTATAAATACATGATAATTACATAAATTTTGTAAATACATAAAAAATTGATAATATAATAACTAAATTGAAAAAAAAAATGCATGTGTATAATTTATGTATATGAATTATATATGTAACATTGTCTTTCTAAAAAAACTTTTTTAACACCTAGGGCATTTGACTTAGTAATAGAGAATAATCCTCTTACTCAAGACGCATAGTTTATGTCTTCCCTTATCCAAATAAAGAAAAAAAGGTTTGTTAACAAGTGCTTTAATTGGCAAAAGAAAGTGCTCTAAGCACATATTTAAAGTTATATTATTTTAATATGATACTTATTAGCAAAATTTAAGAAGGAAAAAAAAATCCTCGAACATCTATTAACAATCATCACAATCACATGATTTATTGATTAAGTTTTATTTAATCAAAGATTTAATTAGATGAAAATAAATATTTGATAAATCAATTAATTATGATAAAATAATAAAAATTTGACAATTTAATTTTAGTTTAGAGATTTTTTATATTTAAACCTATTTTAAATTTATTATTGTCGTAACAGTTTTGAAGCCACCGAATGAATTTGAAAACAAAAATGAAAAAACGGAGTCACCACTAATCTTTTTTTGGTTAGATGCGATTGGCCACTTATTAAAATATATCTTTTTAATAAAATCTCAAAATTAATTAAAATTTATTAAAAAGATAATTTTAAAGTCTATGAAACAGTTTGGGTTTAAGAGTCAACTAAACATGAAGAAAGATTAGCACCCCTACAGCGCTTGTTTAAAACAATACCAATTAATTACATGTCATCTTTTAATCTTGGTAAAAACGGCTTTAGTTTTGGTGTTTAAAAGAATAATTTCCTTAATTTCTTTTATTTATCAAAATTTTAGTTTTTTATTCTTTTTATTATTATTTTTTATTATTGTTCCAACTTCATTTAAGAAAAATAAATTAGAATTCTTTTACTGAAATAATTCTTAACATGTTCCTGTACATTAATAACATTAAAAAAAAATTTCTTTACCTAGAGATTTCTTAGGCATCTTTTTTCAGAATACCTTAGAATCTCATCCTCGGATGCTCAAATTTATTTTTCGTAAAAACAAGATCATGCATGCAATGCAAATTACAATATATTGATGCACATATTTTATTTTTCTTTTAAGAATAATTTTATTGTTTTTATTTTTTTTTTTAAGGAAAGAGAAATTTTTATCATATTGAAATTTTTTTTTAATAAATACTCGAATACTATAATTGTATTTAAAAAAAATTTTCTCACCTAAGGATTTTTAAAATATCACTACTCGGAATACTTTAAATTCCCATCATCATTTTTTAATTATTTTTATTCTTATTTTAGTTATTTTTTATTTTTATTAATAATTTTTAGTTAATTTTTATTTTATTTTATAGAAAGAAAGAATTTTTATTGTATTGAAAACTTTTTTATAAATACTTCAATACACTAGTAATATTTTATAAAAAGTTTTCTCATTCAAAGATTTCATAGGTATTATCACTATTTGAAGTACTTTAGAATCTCATTTTAATAAAATTATAAAAAATTTAAACTTTATTTTTCATTATTTTTCTCATTTTTATTATTGTTATTAAAAAAAGCAACAAATATCTATTCTAGAAAATTTAAAACTTTAAACATGCATAAATAATAATAATAATAATAATAATAATAATAATAATAACTTAAAATGATAAAAAAATTCAAAAAAAAAAAACCTACACCAAATTGATCAACACCGATTTAATTGGGCCAATTGGAGGGTTGAAGGGTGTTGGGTTGTCGGGTCGAGTCATTGAGTCAAACGCGAATCCTCTTTACCTAAAACGCTATCATTTTTGTCTTTTTTTTCAGCATTATAAAAGGTCAAAATTTTTTTATCTCATTTTTCCTACTGTCTTCTCTCTCTATTCTCTCTCTCCCTCTTAGATACTCTCTCACCCCTTAAAAAAATCTAATTTTCAATTGTTGGTCGTTATACGCTGTTGTTGAAAGTGTCAAAAAAAATTTTTAAAAATTACCAAATACTCATTTCGCCTCCCTAAACCCAAATATGACTTTTATTTTTCAAAAAAAAAAAAAAATCCTAATCGATGTAGATCAAGCCTCAAACTTTCGGTCAAAAATGACCCCATTTTTGTGTCATTTTGTTTTTGGCACTGAGATCCCTACTACTAGGTATTTTTTTTGTGTTTGTGTTGTTTGGTTTTTCGTTGTTTTTTTTTTTGGAAGATTTTTTTTTCTTTTCTTTTCTGGTAGAGTTTTTTTGTTTTTTTACAATCTTTCTTCTTTGCTTTTTTGGTTTTTTTTTAGCAAGGTTTTTTTTTTTGGCTTTTTTAGTGGTTTTTTGTAAGTTTTTTTTTTTTGTTTTCTTTTTTTTCTAGATTGTTTGGCAAAGTCTTTTTTTATCTTTTTTTTTTGTGTTTTATGAAGCTCCATTTATAAGGCTTGAACGTAAGATAAGCTCTCACGTTTCTGGCCACAATCCTTATTGCCAAGGACGATGGTGGCAATTAGAAGGTTAGCAGGGTATGTTCGATGAGCAAGGGGTTAGAGTGTGGGTAGGTGACTCAGGGGAATGGTGTCATGCACGACATTCACTGACAAACCCTAATTTTTACCCTTTTTTATTAATTAACTATTATTATATTATTTAATAAATAAAAATTAAAATAGGCCAAATAAAAAAGGCCTTCACATGGGTCGTGTCTCGAGCCTAGGATAAAAAAATCAAAATCGGGTCTCAACCCAAGAATTTGATAAAACTCTATAAATTTAAAATTACAGTCCAATTCGATCTACTCGAACAAATTTAAAATTTACAATTATTATTTTGTACTCTATCATTTACATTCAATAAAAATAAAAATTTAAATAAAATTATATTTGTAAATTGATGTCAATGTAAGTTATAGCTATTTAAAATTTTAACAAAAATAAAAATCAAGAGTTCTAGTTCTTACCCCAATGATGTCACGTCTCCTTCCTTTACCAAACAATATGGCAACAATTAATTAAGAGAAAGTAATATTTTGATGGTTTAACCCACTATACTTTGCAAATAGCCAATAATATATTTCAAGTAACCTATGACTATTACTCTCCTACTCACCAATGCTTTACAAGGAATCTGTGCCCCTGATTAAATGTAGCCTCGTACTTAGAACAATTATAGTATTTTCTTTTTTTTTAATGCTAAGAGATTTTTAGATTTTGTTGAATACTTTTTTTTATTAATTTAAATAGAGTTATTTATGTCAAATTTAATAAATTTATAAAAAAAAAAATTTACATCTCTTAGTAAATTCAAACTTGAGGACGCCAAGAATGTAACAAAATAAGCACAGTATTTGCTTCCCTTGAATGGTTTATATTTTGAAAAATTATTAAATATATTAATAATAAATTTTTAATTTTATGAAAGAAATTAAAAGGATAACATATATTCTTTAGTGTATATTTTAAAAAAATAATTTTAAAAAATAAAACATGCCTCACTTTATTAACCTGATTTATAAAATTAAAAAATTTTATTAACAATATATCAAATAATTTCTTTTAAAAATTTTATACAAAAAAGAAAAAAGTAAAGGTTATGGTTGACAATTCCGAGAGTTAATGTAATTCTAGAGATCACGCTAATTTCGAAAAATTAGACTCAATAATAAATGCATGTATTATCTTATTTAAAAAGTTGAATTTGAATCGTTTTTCGGCTCATACCACCAAAAAAAAAAAAAAAAAACAGCTCATTGACAGAGCTCGCTATGTGCATCAGGCGGCTCCATATGCATGTTCATCCAAATGTTAAGAGAAAATATGGACTGCGGAAGCAGGAGGCATCTCAAATCTTATTTATGGTCCCAAAAAACAAAAAAACCCAGAGAGAGTCAACACTTTGAAAACATATTTCGATAAGGCCCAATTTTGCCTGGGGATATAATGTGCCAGATTTTTGGGCCTCCCTACCAAACAGGTCTTGAGTCTCAAAATCGTGCTTGGCGAGAGTGAGAAAAGAAAAAAACGGACAGCAATTCAAATCGGCTAAGCAAAAGAGGAGCTAGTTTGTCTTGAGCATTAGAATTAGAAATCGATCTCTTCTTACCAACTTTTTATCCTTCCAACTGGCCCTACTAATTTGTGTGTCTATATTATATTCATACCATGTTAATCACATAAAACATAAAAAATAATTATACCTAACTTGTATCGACACACAATCACAGAACAAACATATTTTTATTGCTTTTGTTAAATTCATATATAATTTGACCTAAAATTTTATACAATGCCTCTTTCATGTTTCTTTTTATATTATTTTCATATCGTGCTTAAAGTTGTCTGAATCTACTTCTGACCACGACAAGTATAACCTTAAACTTTGCATGCAACTCAAACCTTGCACAAGCTTCCTATAACAGGACATGAACAACATCCTCAAAGAACAAGTCCCTCTTTAGCGTAGAGGGAATAAAGAAGGTGGGGGGTTTATCCCTCTTTCGCGCACTCGGCAATAGGGGCAAGAAAACACAGCTCAAATTTGGCACTCAATCAAAATATAGATTAATCTATAAATATTGGTATCTAGTTTCGCTCATGGTCCAAAGATTGTGATGCCAGGTCAGATAAGACTGCAAAAAAAACGTTTACCGACTCGGTAAATTTGCCTTCAATAGGTTGTGCTTAAACAGTTCCAGCAAACAATGGCGAGAATGATTGCTTACATCATATACCAAAGGTAATACAGCAATTAGAATAATACATAATCTGCAGAAGAGTCTTTGAACAATTTTTTTTTTCACCGACTGACAACTTCATTTTTACAAAGGCTTCTTTTCATTTGACACATGCAAGCTAAATAATACTCTACTAAAGAAAGCATCATAATATGGTTCTGTTTTTAAGATATGAACATGCTAACCAATGAAAACAATCTAGCAAAAGGGTTCCAAAACATTATGAATAGGATAAATAAACAAACTTTAATTTCAAAGAATAATCTGTTTACTTTTTTAACATCAATATAGGGAGTGATAATAGTATGAGGAAGAGAAAGGATTATCCCTACCTGACCTTTAAACTAGTTGCATGGAGCTACTTGTGCACATTGTCCCAGTTCGAGAATCAGCTAGCTAACAAACATGGTCAGCATCATCAGTTCGAGAAAGACAATTACTGGTAGCGTGGCCATAAAACTCCAGGGCCATTTGTCATACCGCTAGCTTCAGCCAGAGATACAGCCATAGCCAGCATCATCTGCTCCTCATAACTTTCTGGAACAATGGATCCAGGGACGTTATGAAAGCTGCCCCTTACTTCATCTTGTTGTGGTATTGTAGAGATCCCACCAGCATCTTCTGTCACGTCAGAGCTTGCAAAGCTAGTCACTGCTTCAGCCAACTCTGATCCATGATCTATGCCCCATTCCCCTTCATCTCTTGCTGGTGTCATCCCACCATTAGCTGGCATGTCAACTGGACTCTTTGCAGGAGGATAGTTCTCAGCAACTCGATCCAGTGAATCATAAAACCTGCTACAGCCGGGAAGCATATTGAATGCTAGCATATTTCCATTATGGTTGAGAGAAGATTCTCCACCCATCTGCTGACACTCAGCAAGGGCAGCTATTGCACAAGCAAGACTGCCAGAAGGAGATGATGATGAACCAGCCACTGTGCCCATGTCTGGTGAGATATAGCGATCTCCTGAAACATATTGTACTGAAGAAGCAGCATCTCCATAGTTAAAATTTCTCTGTCTGCTGTTCTCCTGTATCAGTCCAATTCAAAGAATCCATGGTCAGATGGACCAAATTTATGAACATGAAATTAATTAAAGTCTGTATGTAATATAGTCAGGTTAAATGGAGATTCTATAGAAATAAAATTTTATAATTACAACAATTTACAAGCTTTCCTCAATTTTTTTGCTTTTCCTATTAACTGAATTCAGATGAAATTCTTGCCATCCAAGGCATGCTACAGCAATAGACACTTGAATGCCATAAGAAAAACAAAGTTTTCTGTCCGTCATCTCAAACTGAAAAAAGTGTCTAACCTAATAACTACAGGCAATACAACATGGATGAGAGAGACAAGCAACTTATTTATGTCTGCAAACAAGAACATGTAAAACAAACATAGCCAGATAGAACTGAAATCACAAAGAAGGCATACAAAATCTAAGAGCAAATACCAGATGGGAACTCTAAGAGCATGTTACAGCAGATAGTACCTCAAATTCAGAATTCAAAAGATGGACCTCTCCAAAAACAAAACAAACAAATTGGAAATTTAAAATTATTAGCCAGACCACAAATGGAGCCATCAAATTAAGGAACAGCCAGGATTTCCTCCCACAATTAAGTAATCCATCTAGAACATCATTCACAAACTCCATATATGAGAAAAGAACGTTTATTCTACCCGCAAAGTACTTTTCAAATTGTGCTAAATATTATCCATTGGGAGAACAGAATTTTGAATGAAAATTTACTCCCAAAAAGACTCTGCTACTAGTTTATATCTTAACAAAAAAAAAAAATTCTAATCAGATCCTTGATCTTTACATAGAAAACAAAACTTCTCTAAACCAACAATCAGCTAACGCCAATGCCACACTACTTTAATTCCTCTGTTATGATAGGTATAAACAATCAAGATGTTTTTTGCTTTTATGCATCTAACTTAACCACAAAGTAAGTATCAATGACGGCGAACTTGTAAACAACACAAACCAAATGCCAAAAATGCCTTCTCAATGTGTTTGCAACATTTAACTTTACCAACTTATATTTCAATCATCTTTATATGCCTAATATATGCCCTAGATCAAGAAACAAGATTAAGCAAAGAAAAGAGCCAAAATAAGCCAGTAAATATAATTAGTTGCTGAAGATGAAGGCTTTGGATGGCAAAATTAATGAATGATTTATTCTTGGCAAAGTAATCTTGGGTAAGCAATGCCAATCAGAGACTATATTTGTTTCTAAGGCTATGATGAGGCAAAATCAGAAAGAAACTTGTCAACTACTCAGTGAAAACAACTAATAATGTACTAACAGCAAGGGCATATGCTAAGCTAGTCTAGAAATCAGTCTTCAAAGGAAACAAAATGAGAATACAAGGATAGAAAATTGTCAGCTACTTATTCGCATGCTAATTGACAAAAATATAGCAGTATTTCTAGGTCAAAATAAAAACAAATCCTAGAACATAATATTGTACAGGTCCAACTGTATCATGCAAAAAGAATCATGAATATAAATTTCTACCAAAAGGGCTGCTGGGTAATGGAACCAACAACAGAGATAAACGAAATAAGGGATGCTAGAAGAGTTTTACAACCATTTCTTCCCTTCAACTGCCATCTTGAAATAGAATGCTAGTAATTGAAGCTTCACTGGATTCTTATGGAAAATTGGTATTATAGATTTTAGTAAATGCAATCCCAACTGCCTTGCACAACACATACATATAGACATCTTCCTCCTATGTACATAGAATTATTACCTTGCTCATCAAAATAGCACAAATTCCTTATTCTACTACTAATAACATTGTAACTTAAAAAGAAAAAATGAAAAAAAAAAAAAAGTTGAATCATAATAATTTATGAGTTATAATTTGATAATCAAGCAAACTTAAACAGATAAACTAGTCTGCTAAGCCAAGGTCCATTAACAACCAAATAAAAACTACTCATCAACTAAATTTTTATTACTAACTCAAATTCATAATAGTGATTTGGCATATAGTTTGAAAAATAACTAAGATCAACTGCAAGAATCCTTACCACTGATATGCCAAACTACAGCACATAGAAGGGTTATACGAGTCACTTAAAATGGTACCCCCTGCAGTATTTCTGATTCAACATCGAGTAGGCCCACAAATAAGATAGGTCTTCAGGAGTTACTTTAACCTTCTAAGTAAAACAATTTTATGAGATTTCAAACTTGAATAGAGCAGAATTCCATAAGCTCATGTTCTTACAGGGACTCACAAAAGAGAAGAAACAAATTTCGAAAAGAACTTCCATCAAGAACCTTCCTTTCATACACTTAGTAATAGTTATTCCAAATGAGATGGTATAATATAAGATTATTTCCCACATCATCCTATAATCCAATAAGGAAAATGATATATATAAACACACCTATGGGATACTATTTGCTTAGCCAAGATAACTACGTTCGATCTAGTTTGTCCTCATAAAAGTACATGAAGATATTGAAGTTCCAATAAAAGAAACCGGATTTGTAAGGCTTCGGTCAACATGGATGCATATAGATTATTCACCATTATCAGTTACTTAATTGGGCTAATAAATTACACCTTCACACAACACAATTATGTAAAAACCATCAAAAGATCAAACATATTAATATGTGAAAAAGAGCCTCTTTCTTTAACAACTAAAAAAAAAAAAAAACCTTTCAAGGAAAGAATACCAATATTAAAAAGTACATTTGAACTGACAAGTTTTCTTACAGCAGCTAAATGCTTAATCTCCGAAATTAGTTTCATACATAAATCTCATCAAATTTAAACAAAAAAAAAAAAACCTGAATTGACTGCCAAATTGCTTCCATGACCATTATTTCCTCAAGATCTATGTCAAACTCATCATCCCTGCAATTTAAGTATTTCATACAAGATAGAGAAAGAATATTCGATCAGATTCTTTCTGGAACATAAACGAAAAAATGTAAAACGTTGTTTAGGCCTAAGAAAGAGATTAGTACTTGTGCACTAGTAAACAAAATATTGTCTCATTTTTTTCATGACAAAGCAAATAAGAAAGTTCACCACAATGAAATGTACCCAACTTGATATCTTTCTTTTTGCCATAACTCTTTCATAGAAAACAGGATTTTAATTAACAAACTTTGAATGGTTGGCATCATACTTTTAAATCAACAGAAGCATTTGGTGCATCTGCTGACCTCGACTGCTAATGTACTATAATTATTTTTATAGATAAAGGAACTTTCAGTAAACAACAAAGAAGGATTTACATCACTCTTTGCACCTAGTCAAGAAAGTTCATAGTAAGATTAAGGTCTTCTTTCATAGTTTTTGTCCATAGAAATACCTCTCATGGCGAGAGTATCTTCCATTAAATCTCATGTCCTCATGAAGAAATTTGTTGGTCTCCTATTTACATGTCAAAACCACATTTCATCGGTTTCTGTCATTCTGTCCCGACAGGTCTAACCCTCATTCCTTTAAACGCTCATCCATAATCCCATCTTTCCTTCTATGCCACACATGTAATGCAATAATTTGATCTCAAAAGCACTTATGAACGGTGAAATATTTGCCATTTGTCCTCAACCATGTGTTAAACAAGAGACAGCGTCAGTGTTGAGCCAGTAACTACTAACAATCATTGCAACATACCTTTCAACTATGAAATTCACCTCCAAATCCACTCTCAGATTACCTCCTTTAGCCCTTCTTTTACCATGCCATTTCAACTCCCCAGCAAATATCACAGTCACAGCTGTGATGGAGTACCATTTGCATGAAACTTTTCTGAACAAATCTAGCATAAACATACTTTTTACTCTTACCTCACTACAACTTGAAATGAAGACACTAAGACCAATCTTACAACAGGAGTTCTGAGATTTGAATACAAATTACAAAAATTAACGGCGATACAAACTAGCAACTATTCTCTATGCTCTTTTTTATTCTTAAGTTTTAAACTGTAAATTCCATCCAAGGAAGAAGAGCTACCAAAAACTGTGCCTACCTGTTTGCCCTCGAATGTGGGGGTTGTCGAATGATTGAGGAAGCCTGCAAATCTTGAGAAGAAACTATTTCCGCCTCACCAGAGGAACAAGCTGCAAATAACAAGAGAAATATTAGGGAAAAAAGTTCAAGATAGAACACTTTCAAAGAAAATGAAGAATCAATATATAAGGAAAAACAGAATCACAATAAACTGATACCTGCAACTGAACTGTATCGAGCTTCCCCTGGTGCAACACCAGTACTTGAAAAACTCAAATCTTGTCTTTTCTGCATTCTCTCTTCTTCATCCTGAAGTTCCTGCTGCCTCATTCTAATTTGTGCTTCTATAACTCGTTGTTCTTCCTGCCAAATTTAAATAGAAAAAACAAATATTAAATTCATTTTTTATCTAGTGGAAATCATAGGATTTACACCCTTTTTTTGTTTGTTTCAGAAAGAGGGGATGGTCTTACAATTTGCTCTATCCCTTTTTCCTCCTTTGTTTTCACACCTCGATACTCCACAGCATAGCTTGAAGTTTTGCAGAAAGGACACCTCAAAATGTCAAGGAATGCAAGCATTGGAATAAAGTAAATTGACAACTAATCAAATTGAAATGCTTTACAGTTAATTTCATTATTGTGAAGGATACTGGGTAGGACGGGTTGAATTAGGATTCCTCATCTGCAGAAAACACTCTGGTGCAACTAAATGTGTCAAAATTTTATGCAATTAGCAATATTACTAAGTATCAGTCAGAAAATTCACGGATAGTTTACCTGTGCAAATACTTTTCATGCAACATCTTGATCTGTTGAGGCTAGGATAATACTAAAATACAATTGAAAAAAAAAATCATATTGAGGTAATAAGAAGGCTTTACATTCAACCACGACAAATTTTAAAAGATAATTACATATGAACATTCAACAAATAGCCAGTAAACAAGTGCACAGGGTAGGCTTCCAAATATGCAGTGCTGATAAGGCAAAAGGACAAAAGAGTATGAAATCTACAGTTGGACGGTAAAACATAACAAGAAAGCCAATGAAGTAAATACAAACCAAAAAGCAAATTGGGCATTCTTCAAGATCACAACAGCAATCTTCATCACCGGGATAACATGGAGCAAGCTTAGACTCAAGTATCAGCTTTCTTAGCTTCTTAATATCCACATCTTTATGAACATACGACCCCTGTGGGCGCGTATACCTCTCGTCCACAACTTGCCTTCTCCTTCCCAACTTATTACCCATAAAAAAATCTTGAATCTGTGTTCCGAAAATCGTTCTCTTTCCTTCTTCTTAATTCTTTTTCTCCTTCAACTTGCTATTTGATTATTCTTCAAATTCTCCAAATTCAAAACCAACCAAAACAACTACACGTTTGGTTTTGATTATTTGGTTTACTAAAAATAGCAGACATTATAAACAAATAATCGCGTAGCATCTAAAACCCTAATTCGTAGTTTTACAACATAATCAAAGTCACACCGGCAAAACTGAATTCTAATTCAACTTGAAAATAGTTTAGTTTACAAACTTATGCCCCAAGAGTCCTGCAAATGCAACAAAAAAAATGCTCAAAATTAAACATAGAAATTAAAAGTAATAGCTAAAAAAGTGCTTCCGAAATGTGAATTCACAAACCAAAATTTCATTCAAAAACCCTAACTTTTGGATTCCTGAAAGAAATTAATTTACCAAGTCTAATTTTCACAGCTGAATTGGTCACAGTGTATTCCTTTTAAGAGACATTGCCATACCTATAATTGAAGCCAAAAAAAATTAAGACTGAAAAGCCAAGTATAGCCATTTGGAAAAACAGATTATTTCTATAAGAAAAAACACAAAGCTGAAAAAAAAATAAAAGCCTTCGAACATTAAAAAATAAAAATCGAAAAGAGCCTTACTAAATTAAAGGTAATTTGAGAGATGTGAAGAGACTGACCTTGAAATCCTGAAAGGGAATTGAGAAGTGAAATTAGAAAAGAGAAAGAAAGAGAATACAGAGAATGACAGATTTTTGCTATGCCAACGAGAACAGAAACACAATCAGAACTCCCTCTCAGAAAAAGAGAGAAATTTTTCTTTTTTCTTTTTTTTTTCTAATTTATTTAAACTATTTGCTTTTTTTTTTAATACAAATTTTGGACGGAAACTTTTAGTTAGATAGTAAGACAAAGAAAATGAGAATATGGAAAATACTTTTTTTTTTATTTTTTAATAAAAACTTTATAAATAATCAGATAATTTTACAGTAGAATCGTTCAATATTTTTTTAATATTAATGTTTATTGTCATATGTAATTAACATGAAAATTTTTATTAATTTATAAATAAGCATATAATTGTATATTTTGTAAATAATTAAAACGAATAAATTACATATTTTTATATAAAATTTTCCCACTTGTAAAATACATTAATTAATATAGATTTATTATTTTTAATATTGACCTAAAATTAGAATTTTTTAAGTTTAAGATTCAATATAAATTTTATTTTTTATTATAAAAAACTTTTAAGTACTTTAAAATTTTTTTTAAATAATAAACATAAACATAATAATTCATATTTATTTTATATTAAATAAATATAAAACACAAAAATTATTATATTACAATTCATGTCAATATTTTAAATATGAAACATAATTTTTAAGTTTATCGAATAAATAAATATTTTTTGTTAAATCATATTACTTTTATTTTTTTAATTATTTTCATAATGTATCATTATATTTAAATAAAATAATAATATTATAGATTTTGATTTGTATTTTAAAAAAAGGTGCGAGGATGAAAGGGATTATAAATAAAGAAAATTTATTAAATATATTAATAATAAAATATTTTAATTATACAAATGAAATTAACATAACAATACATATCTTTTAATATATTTTTTTAAAATAATTTAAAAAATAAAAATATATATCAATTTATTATCCCCCCTTGTTAAATTTGAAAACATCATTAATTATTTCTTATTAAGAAAAGGTTATAGTAATAGATCAGAAAAGAATCAATCATCACCTCCCCAACAATGAGATTTACATCCACAAGCAAATCAACAAATAAAATCTGCCGAAAGCAAGAAGGATGGCCCATAAAAAATAAAATTAAAAATGAAAATGGATGATTTTGTTGAGATTTGCCAGAGGCCGGTGGACCATAGTTGGTTCCACCAAAATCTCTTGCTCGTGTCGTAGGTTAGCTTCTACGTACAAAATTCAAAGCTTTATCCACTTATGCATTCTTCAGAGATTCAATACAATTATACAAATAAAAAAAAAACTTGTTGATTAATTAGGATTGGCATGTGGTTCACCCAATTGGTTATGGATGGTGGAACCATCACTCTCATGGCTCATTTCTTTGCCTAATGTAATCTAACCTTATTAACCTTTCATAGAAAATAACCCTTTCATATATTTCTTTATCGGGAATAACCGTTTCAAACCATTTCTTGTTGTTTAATATCCCTCCATTAATTAGGCTGCATAAATTACTCACATCAAAAAGAACTAATATTCATACACATAATCAATGAAAAAATAATCCTCGTGAAAGTAAATGCATTGGATTAGTGTAAAAACAAAAGTCCTAAAACTTTGAGATTTTAAATTAAAAATTTATTATGTATATGTATATTTGGTTAATTTGATATTGAATTGTCTTCAACTACTTGATTTAATGGTCAAGAGAATCTTAAAGAAAACATCAAGGTTGAAGTTCGAACCTCAACCTTCTTCCTCTTCCTTAATGTAAAGCTTTGTCCCTTTGAATGATTAAAAAAAATTTTTGATATTGAATTTGTTTAATTATATTTTAATTTATTAATTATTTTATTTATTTAATTATTTAGAGAATTCTTATATATGGGTAAAATATTTTAGTATAATGTATGAAAAGACGCTAATTTGAAACATCATTTCCCAAACTATTCATGTTTTTAAACTTATTTTCAAATTGAGTAAATTCCAAAAACATAACTACCTTATTGTTAAAGACTTAAGCCAAATTAAATTTGGCCTATGATGTTTCAAAACTAATATGTAACTATCCTGGTCGTTTTATGCTAATACCACTAGCTTTTTGCTCTTTTCCAAATAATTTTTTTAAATTTTTTCTCTTTCGCTTGTTTTCCTTTTGTTCTTTTTCCGTCTTCAATATTCGGATCACTTATCTTGTATTAAGCATCTATCTCCATTCAAAAACATCCAAGATGTTTGTAAATCTTTAAACCAAAAATCACAAAACCCACATCCATATCAATTTTCAAACTAATATTTGAAAATCTCAAAAAAAAAAAAAAAACTTGAATTTGAAAAAGGTTTGAAAAGGCTGCTACAATCTCATTAATGGTTTTCAAGGTATCCCTATTGATTTTGGTATATCCATTGGTGGCCCCTTGGTTATCTTGTGGGATGAAGCAAAAGAAGTAAATAAGAAAGAGGAAAAAGGGAGAGGGAGACGAGTGTTTTGCATTGGGTAATTTGGGAATTGAACAAGGAAAAAAAATGTTTTGAAGAATAACGGAAAAGTTAGCGGTGTTAGCATAAAAAATAATAAAACAAATTTCAGAATAGTTAAGTGTAAATTTTGAAGGAGATTGATCTGGTGTCCTTCCTAAAGGCATTAGACTTACACCAGATTTCTAGCTATTATAACTTGGAAAATGAGAAAAACCTGATGGGAATGGGATGGTACTAAATTTTGGTTCCTCACTCAGCACGTGCATGCTTATAACCACCATTTGAAATATATATGGAAACTAGCAGAAAAGACACTCAAGATGACATTATTGTCAAAACAAAGGGATAGAATAAGGTAAAAAATTCTCAACGTCAAGCTTCAATCCGAAGCATGGCCATGATGTCTTCAGTCGAAGATAAAAAGCAACTGTTGCGACAGAAAAGATGGAAATAATGAAATAAAAGAAAGTTTCACCATCCCTTAATTGGGAAGTCACTTAATTCCATCCATGGATTTTAAAAGGCTTGGTTGATCAGTTAATGCAATGTTGGACGGGTAACTCGCGGTCTCACAGGTGTCTTTGAAGGACTTACCCTGAACGTTAAGAATTTAAATATAGCAGCATTAGTTTATTAGATGACAAGCATGAAATTTAGAGCAAGAATTCGGGGACACACCTGATGGGCTGGGTTCCTAGCACCATCCCACTGCAATTCAGTGCAATTATGGCACATTCCGCCTGTCAACAATGGGGAAAACAGAGTCAAGGCACAAAACATTGCGCAGGAAAAACTATTACTTTGGAAACTAGTAAAAGTATTAGGCTATATGTTTCATTAACTCATCAACTGTCATTAAATCTTTTTGGAGATCATATATGTAAAAATGCATGCACAAAGGTGTCATGCTTTTGAATGATGATGATTGATTTGGTGTGTGCACATGCATGTACAGCTGATTTAATGCAAAAGTGGATGGATAGTTACTTATCATAGCAAAAACAAGCTGTAATGTGGCAAAAGAATTCCATGGTAAACAAGCAATCAAACAAACAGACAGTTTGATCCTACAACCTGTTCCACTAACATCTATGAAAATGATCTGCAATATTTTAATGAATGAAGAAATAAGTCATTCAACTTGCATGATCATACGTCCTTTACAAGCAAAAAGAAAGAAAATACTCGTTGGGATATATATATATATATATATATATATACATATATATATATATCCAAGGTGTATAGTTTTGTGCATAACTGCTTAGTAACTACTGTTGACAATTTCTAAGATTTCAAAAAACGACAAAGGAATATAAAATCAAAGGAAAATCAAGGAAGATAGAAATTTTTCTTCCATTTAGCTGGTCTGGAAAAAGTAAAAGAGGTCTAAGAAAAGCATTAATTGAGCAAACCTACTATCAGATGTCTCACAATTACATACTAAAGAAGTGGGATGGAGATTACACATGGAAAAGCTAAATTATAAAGAATGTGACCTCAGTTTAGACCCATTTACCATTATGGCTGCAGACTTGCTTACAAGAAAATTGGCTCTCACATGCAAGCAAACCAAGAGAAGAGAAAAAAATATAAATAAATAGGAAGGTATAGACTAAAATAAGTTAATTCCAGAATTAAGTCAAACACCTTTTATTGATATAAGAGAATACATCTAGAAATATTTGAATCACTAACCTAAATTCATTTGAACAAGAGACTCAAAGCTAAAAAGTTTTGAAATAAAAACCTTCTGTGTTGAGCTCAAAGCTGTTAAATTTGGCAGTTGGGGTATAAAAATAACCCGTGCTTCCTTACTTGTGTGAATCATGCCTATAGTGTACGTTATGTGATCAATTCGAACTCTCTAATGCATAATGCAGATATACTTTCATGGGCAATGCAGAATAATTTCATAAATGACTTATTAAATTTAGCCACTTGAATCTTCACCTTTTGATTTGGATCCTACAACGAGTATATGGCTATCATGATCATCACACATGTTAGGCTCAAAGCTGTGGCAGCAAAGATCTTTAAGGCCAAACTAGGGTCCAAAGTATATAGGTTAATATATTAATCAATCCAATAATACCTATTGTCCCATTCTAAATGCAAATTGCTAAAAATAAATCCTCAGGAAAATAAAGAAGCATCGGTAATGGATATTGGCTAATGGAGAAGTAAACATCATTCTCAAACAATTATGGTAAATCAATAACAAAGATTATTTGATTTATTTTCGGTTCCCTATTACATTAAAATGGCTTCTCCTCCGATTTCGCTTGCTGCTTGTAACATGACTAAGCAATCCCAAAACCATAAGTGCACCAAAAATAATAACATATCATATCCTATATCTTATACCACTCCAATCAGTCAATAGTGGTTCAACGCATGACATCAGTTGCCAAAATCTACAAAAAGATCCCTGAAATGCTTTTACATAAGAGAGTGAAGACCCAATTTCCAGTTTACATACAATAATGGCAAACACTCAAGAGGTGTTGTTAGTCGAAAACAGTCACATGACCATCCAACAAAGCAAAATATAGAAACCACAGAACCTCTTGACGTAAAAAGTAATACAACTATTACTACTGTAATATTTTTTTGGTACTGAGACCTAAGCATCTAATCTTCTTGATATCATTACTAATTCTCAGTGCCTACTGCCAACAGACAAAAGGATTAAGTCCCCAGTTACATTTTCCCAAAAAAAAAAATAATAATAAATAGATCATAAATTGATAGACTACTAGGTTACTCTTTACGTTTCACAGCACAGGCTAAGAAGGTTAGCAGTGAAGTCAGGTCCACGTGAAACAAGGCTTGAAGCAAATGTTACTGCAGAGTGTGCTCAATCTCAGGATTTTGTAAAATAAACTCTTATTTATTAATTAGAAAGCTGCAGTCAAGATTATTGTTTCTCAAAGCCACAGTCTAAATACTATCATCACACAATGAACTCGAAGGCTAAAAATGTGAAGTAAACCCTGTTTATCTGCATGCAAAAGATTGCCATCTCTTTTCCCCAACTAGTGTATTACAGCCAATATATAAGACCATAAAAGAAGTAACTTGAAAAAGAATCCTATCCTGCACAATGAGAGGAAAAAAAGATCCTTTGAAAGGACCAGGTAAGGTTAAATGGTCAAGACAAGCCTTAACACATTTTATTGGTATAAATTTTTGTAATTTGCTAATATTATTACTAAACATGCTTTCATATGATCGACGGCAGCAACAAGACATTTTCTAAGAAGAACTCGTGTTTTAGTAGACTTCATTTAATCTACTAATCATCTATATATTTAATGTAAATTCGTTGAAGATATAAGGTGAAGTTTTCACTCAAAGAAGCTCACTGATAGCAGGAACATTTGCCAAGAATTTGCAGAATGGGCAGAAACTGTTTTGAGAGAGAGAGAGAGAGAGAAAGAAAAAACTATGAAAGAATTACAAGTATGTTCAAAAACTAGGAAGAAATTACGAATGAAGGCTGATTTTAGTCAAACATATCACGTAATTTAAAGCATACAAGGAAAATTTGCAGTGGCTACATTTGCACAAATAGTTTTCAAAAAGATGCTGATGGCATATTATAAATAATTTAACAACATGAAAAATATACTGATTAGAATCAGAGTCGGAAACATAGTGTCCAAAGCATCATAAATGTAATCTCAAAATAATTTTGAATCCAAAGCCTTTCAACATCAATTCCAAAAATACGAACTTACCATGGCAAATTCAACAAAAGCAATACGGGTTGAATGTACACGATCCCCTAAGAGCCTCAAGCGAGTGACCTGAGAATTAAAAGAAAAAGATGTCAACTTTCATAAAGACTCCACCTTTAATCTTATTGTCAAAAACAATTAGAAATGGGTGTTCATAGTATTGATACCGTACTAACCTCACCACAGGCTGATTCAAAGAAACTCCTCACTTCAGCTTGAGAAACCTTCAATCAAAGTGAAAATGCTTGTGAGAATTTGATCAACTAAGTTACATTAATAATGTACAAACTAGTGGAAGAGATGATGACCAATTATTGCAGTCAAAAAAAGTCTAGAAGAATACTCAAACATTCATGTGAACAAAGACAAGGGTTACCTTCTTGTCAATATTTGTACAATAAACTGTCCTGGTGCACAGTTCCCTTTCATCTTCTGACTGTAATTTAGTTATTATAATTATCAACAGTGAGGCCAGAAAGAAAAATATACAGCAAAACTCCAAAAGTTATTTAGTAATGGTGAAACCGCATAGGATAAAGTGAAGACAAATAAGAGCCAGAAAGTTATTCATCCATACTCTAGGGAGAAATGTAGGGTTCACAGGAAGAATGGCAGTTTTTGAAGGCAAGACCCTAACTGGATAAAACCCTAGCATTGTCCCACCAAGGTTCAAAGCAGCTCTTGCACCTTCTGTGAAAGCAAAGTTCATATATGTAATATGTGAATAAATGTACATCAATTTATACAAGAAAAATTAAAGTTTAGTCTACAGCAGCTGCTTACCTTCATCTGCAAATTCCACAAATGCAAAGCGAAGAATTGAATGCAGGTCACCACAAACTCGGCAATCAACAACCTTCAAAAATAATAATTCCCAAACCACCTCAGAAATGTCATATATACAGTAATCTGTCACATAAGCTATCAAGTAGAAATCAATCCTGTCAAGTAGTATCAACCAAAGCCACAACATCCTTTTTTTCTCAAGGAGAAAGGAGGTACTAAACCCTCAAAATCAAATTTGAAAGTTCTTTTAGCATTTTAAGGAAGCTCTAAATGAAGAACCAAAAAATGAAATAAAGAACCCTGCTTTAATAAGATAAAAAAATGGAAAACTCAGAGTCTTTTGCACATATCATAGAGAGAGAGAAGAAGCTCTAAAGACAGAAATGATAAAACTAGAACATTATCATAAATTATTCTACACATCTTATGCAAGAAGGAAAGAAATTGTGCAAGACACAGCATTAGCCAGGAGCAAGCAAAATTGCAACAAAAGCTTTAAAGCCAGCTTTTTTAACTTACTTGTCCATAACTACTAAATAAGGCAGCAAGTTGCTCTTCAGTAATCTAAAACAAAGAAAGAAACAATTTTCACAAGTGACTTCTCCAAATTAGAATGAAACAAAAATAAAAATCACTAAATGGTGCCATCGTTAAACTTACAGTAAGATCAATATCTGAAACATATACTGTTCGCCTAATACTATCATCTCTTTGAGCTTGAAAAGCTCTACCATTAAGCCTTCTTCTACTCTGGTTGTAGTTATTTCTTCTCTGAAAAAAACAACTATAACCATTTACCAAATGTAACCAAAGGGAATAAAAGGATCAAATACAAGACCCTCACGTGCCAAAATTCAGCATAACCTTATACCATTTATGACAAGCAGAGGAAGAAAAGCCGACTCCAATTGCATCAACGTTCCAACAAGTCAATCAAATTAATAATAAGGCAATAATTAGGCCGACTAAAGCCCATAAAATCATAAATGCCAGCAAAACATAACACTTTATCAATCCAAAGAGGAAAAATCGGAAACCAGTTCAAAACGCAGAATTCAATAATCAACGGCACAGGAATCAAATTGCCACTTTGAACCCATTAGGATTATAAAACAAAGCACATCCTAAAACCAATTTATCTATGTAATCAAAACCATAGCCACCAATAACCCCCAAAACCCTCACAAAAAAAAAAAAGAACCGTTTTCCCACAAGACAAAAACAACCAAAAAAAAAAAACACTAAAAGAAAAAAATAGCAAACACCCATAAATCAAAACATTAAGGTAAACAAAAATGCAATTAAAAAATGTAAATGATCAGAAAAAAAAACCCTTCTGTTGGGGTAATTCTCATTCCCAACTGATTTCTTATTAACAGGCACCTGATTAAAATTATTATTATCGGTCTGATAAGATGATGGGAAAAATTCTTTGGCCAAAGGATTCAACTTTGTGAACATATCAACCAGCTTCTGCACATTGAATTCCTTTGATTCTGATTTAGCTGTTTCCACCACCAAATTGCTGTTGTCATTAGCAGCAGCAGCAACTGCCTCACCTGCCTTGTCAACAAGCGCAGCCATAGAATCAGAACCCCAAACCCCCCCCCCCCCCAAACAGAAGAAAAAAATGATCAGAAGAAAAGAGAACTTGCTTTTGTAAATTTATTCTCTGTATTTCTTCTTTCTTACTACAGAGCAAGAAAGTTAAGAGTTTAGAGAAATCGTTTTTTTTTTTTACTATTGATGCCTAATGATAGATACCCATTTGGGAAAAAAAATTTTCTAGAAATGGAAATAAAGTGAAAATGCAGATTGGGTTTCCCTTCTTTCTTTAGGGTTTTGGAGGAACTTATATAAATAATCAAAGAAAGAGGGGAAAAAAAAGGGTGAGAAATGGAGGAAGGAACAACATCATTTTTTTTTTTGGGTTTTTTATTTTCTTTCTCATTAGAAAAAGTGAGGGACGTTAAAAATAGGGAAGGGAAGGACCGCTATAACGTAAGGATGACTTAAGACTTTTTTTTTTTAATGCCCAAATGAATCGGGAAATTTTTACTTAAATAATTGCAAAGAAACCGTGAATTTTTTATTGTACAAATTAAGATTATAAATTTTTATTATATTATAATTATATTTATTAAATATTAAAATTGAATGAATAATATTCAATTAATAGAATTTTAAAATTTTTATCATTTCATTCATCAAATGGATTTAAATAATTATTTTTTATAAATTAAATTATCTAATATAATAATTTCAATAAAAAATTAAATATTTTATGTCAAATTTTAATTATAATAAAATAAAATTTTATAACTTTAATTTCATTGAATAAAAACTTGAATTGCGTAAAACTTAGAGTTTATTTATTTATATATATTTCTTCATTTTTTTTTTATAAATACAATGGGAGGATGGGATGTGGCGTATCATCATCCATACCATGTAACCGCTATTTTTTGAGTTTGTTGGGATTGCAAATCCCTATAATTTCATTATTTTTCTCATTTTTCCTTTTTTTATAATTTTATTTCTCAATTTTTACTATTTCTTAACTTTTTTCTTTTTTTATTGTATTTAATCAAACCATCTTAATTTCTTATTAATTATATGAATTATTATTATAATAAATAGGATAAATTACATCACTCTATAATTAAGAACAGACAAATTTGTCTTTATGGCTTAATAAAAGAAAATTTATTTGATATGGACTCAATAAAATTTTAGTGAAGTTTTTAACTTCATGAACGAAATTAAAAATTTAATATATTTAATTTTTGAATTTTTTTCGTTAATTTGAAAGCTAATATTGTTTATATTTTTTCTTTATTTATTATTTTTTTAAGACTCTTTCAATGCTATATATCATTTTTATGTTGACTAAAAAATTATTAACAAAAAAAAATTTACAAGATGATAAAGTGTTAATATTTAAATCTCAAAAAGTAAATTTATTTGAATTTTTTTTATAATTTACCCTTATAAATATTGATAATGACATTTAAAAATGGACGAAAGATGTTTTTAATTATTTGAAATAATTGCAATATAACAACACCTTTTAAAAAAAAAATTCTAATGAACAATATTAACATATTTATTTAGTTGTGCCAAATATTGTTTATGTTTTATAAATAGTTGTTGTGCCAAAATTCCTAAATTCATCTCAAGTAAACTATTGCAACATTTAAATTTTTTAGGTGTATGTTATCCATCAAAGAAATTACATGCTAGGATAATTTAATATTTAATACTCGATCATGTTGATTAATTTGATTAATTATAGTATTTAAAATGTTTTTAAAGTGTTATGTATTTATAATAATTTTTATGTTATAATAAATTTAATAATTTTAAAATCTTTTTTAATTGTTTTTCTTGTATTTTAGTGCTTGGTGCCATGATGAGAAGAATAATTAAAATAGTTTAAAAAACCAAAATGTTGATGTGTTTGTCTTATTAGAATATCTCAATACATAAAAAAGAACATTGAGCAATAAGAATACAATAAAATAAAATAAATCACTATTAATTTAAAATAGAATGAGAGGATTCGTACGTAAATGATAAATATTATGTTTGTTTGGATAGATTAAAAGAGATTTAAATAGTTTATATAAATATGGTTCATATATGTATATATTTGTTTAGATTGAAAATATCTTATAAAAATTAGAAGAAAATGAGAGAATACATGAGTTTTAATTGTTGAGTAGTTGATTAAAATTATATGTTTGTAACTCTTTACGATTAGTAGATTTTTTTTTTCATTTATGGACATTGGTCGGTTAGATTGAATTATGCTAAATTGCTATTTTTTGTATAATTAATTGATTGTTTTATTGTACTTCTACTTGCTTGATTGTTTTCTTATACTTTTGCTTGCTTGATTATTTAATTAATTTTTGGCCTTCAACCAAAATAAAAATTATCGTGATTCTAACAATTAATATTAGAGCTATGTTTTAAGGCTTGTGAATGGTATTCCTATCAACCGGTATCTGGGTTATGTTCCAAGTAGTTATGGATAGAATACCTAACAATTAGCATCAAAGAGAAAGTTCAAAGTGTGAGAAAAGATAAACCTAAAGAAACTCGATTTAAAAGAAGAGTTTGAGTTCATATTATGAGAGATCGATTTGCGAGAAGCGTAAAAATATACAAAAAGATTGTTACGAAATTTTTATTGCGTATAAAGCCAAGCATGTTAGCATGGAATGATGATTTAATGGAATCTGAGTTAAAGAGAATATTATTGAGAATAATGACTTTTATTTCATAAAAAATTTGTTTAACATTTTTTTATAGTAGCAAAATATTATTTAATGAAAAAAAAAACTTGCAAGAGAAAAATTCTAGCATGGAATGATGATTTAATAAAATTTGAGTTAATGAGAAAATTGTTAAAAATAGTAACTCAAATTTCATAAGAGATTTGTTTGATTTTTTTTTTAATTGGCTAGATTTTACTTGATTGATAAAAAAAAATTACAAGAGAAAAATTTTAGGAAGAAATGAATTCTTGATGGATAAGTGAGTAGACTTATAAATAGTGAAAGCCTTTATAGGTTAAGTACGAGAGAAAAATATAAAAAAGTTGTATAATTTTTTTTTATAAATACACTACAAAATTAGAAAAGTTTGAAAAAGTCTTTATGGGTATCTATTGAAGGTTTACAGTAGACACGAAGAGAATGAAATAATTCACATACGCATAATAAATGTTATTTTTATTTGGATGGACTATAAAAAATTGATATAATTCCCATAGGCATGGGTGTGCATAAATGTATATTTGTTTAAATTAAAAATATTTTATAAAATTATAAGATAATAAGAAGATCTATGTGTATTGGTTATTGAATGATTAATTGAGATTGTATGTTTATAAATTTTTAAAACTAGTGAATCTTTTTTTTTTATTTGTTGATTTAAATTAATTAAGTTAAATCATATTAAATTATTATCTCTCGTATAATTAATTAATTATTTAATTATATTTTAGTGATTGAATTATTTAATTGATTTAAAATTTTTTGACTTAACAACTAGAATCAAAACTATCGTGATTTTAACAATTTATATCAAAATTATATTTGAAATTTGTTAATAATATTCATTCAACTCACATGGTGAGACTTAAATTTAAGACTATAAAAGTTTTAAAAACTTACTCTTACTCATTAACATAAAATTTCTATTATTATAATTTAAAAAAATTATTATTTAATGACATGCATACATGCATTCCACGTGATTTGATACTAATTTATTGATTTAATATGATAAAACTTTTGGTAGTTAGAGGTCTAGAGTTGGGACTTTGATGGGGCGCCAAACATAATGAAAGAATTGCTGACATTAAGAATCATCTGTCTTTTTCCTTAGGCTCGCTTTTCATTCGCAACGTTTTTTTTTTTAATTACTACTACTTTATATATTGCTTTAGGTTTGTTTTTTTTTTTTTTTAGGATGTAAAAGAGGGGTAATGTCCTTAAAATGAGAAGATGACGGGATCAAGCCTATATAATTTTCAACTCATCTCTTAATAATTAAGTTAAAAAAAAAATTCTTTAAGTATAATGTTAAAATCTACTGTATAATTTTTATTATATTTTGCACAGCCCAAGGGCGTTAGTTAGAAATTTATTATATATATTTTCTATAGGATTACCACTATTTATTTAGGCTTGGCTTAACTGTCGATTGTAGCCGAGGTTCAGATCTTTCTTCCTTTTCATTGGACTTTCATATTTTTATATATTTTAAAATTTGCCAAGTTTAATTTCATTTTTAAACTTTTTTGTGCATATATGCTTATGTCAAGTGCATTTTTAATTTTATTTTAGAGTTTTTTTTACAAAGATCAAACTTTTATCTTTAACAATTTGATTAACTCGTATAGATTCATCCTATATATATTTTTATAGTTTCAAGTTTTATTATTTTTGAATTTTGTTTAATTTTATACTAAATTTGTTTAGTTAAAATTTAATTTTTTTGATTAATTAATTAATTTGATTATTTAATGATGTAATATTTAATTATAATTATAATTTTTTTACATATAATTTTAAAAAATAAATAAAAATTTTAAAAAAGTATTATTCGCTCCAAAAAGAAAAAAAATCCAATTTGGTTAGAATTTCTCGCAAGTCAATTTTGAACCTAACTTACTTCCCTGCCATTGTATATGTGGATAGAGTTTGGACCCAAAAACTAATTTCAGTTCATAAATTAAGGATGTATATGATATATAAAATTATATTATAAATAAAATTATATTAAATAATTTTATTTATTTTATGTTTGACATATATAAATATTAAAATAAGGTAATTTATTTATTAGTCAATTATTTTTTTTTACAGTTTATATAATTTAAATTATTGATATAATTTTTAAAGATATAATAAAATATATAAATTTAATTTCATAAATTAAAAACAATTTTTTGTACTAAAAAGATTAAATTATCTTGTATCAAGAGGATAATTAATTCTCTTTATAACTTTATTTTTTAAAATAAAAATAAAATATAATATAAAACAATTATCATCTTATCTTATTAATTATCTTA